CAATCAACCTGCAGCCGGAGCAGCAGCAGCAGCTCAGCCACTGCCAGTGAAACAGGCAGAGGAGCAGAAACATGTTAAAAAGATTTACCCACACAACGCGCTAACAGCAGCAGCCGCAGCTGATCCAACAAGATTTATTTACCAACCTCCGGACCTCCATGTGACAGCCCCAATGATGGAAGTGGCGTCCGCAGATGGAAGCGCACAGCTGGTCCACAGACCGCGGCTATACAGCGAGATGAAGGAAGCAACACAACAGCTTCCTTGAGTCCAGGACAGTGGGGTGAAATATGCTGAACATCTGCTGATCTTTTGCAAACAATTCCGACCCACGACCGCTGAACTGAGACGACTGTTGACCCTTCAGATGGGGGCAACCTGGGCACGGGTGTCAGCAGGTTTTCCCGCAGAGGACATTAGACTCTCAAAACCGTTCTGGGATGACGCAGAGAACGCAAACCACAGACTGGTGGTTAATAATCATTGTAAGAAAATAGAGGAACTATTTCCCCGGAGGCTGGACTGGGCATTATTAACAGGGTGCACACAAAGGCGTGCCGAGACAGTGACAGACTTCCTGAACAGACTCGCTGAACTTCATGAAATCCACAGCGATATGATAAAGCCAGATGCGATGGGACCATCACATATCATCACCCCATGGGAAGCCACTCTCAGAAACAACTTTCTTACTGGACTGAGGCCAGAGATCGTGAACATGGTGAAACACAACTGTTTGACATGGCAACATGGTCACCTGGAGATTATTCAAAGACATGCCTTCCATGCCGAGGATTTCCTCCTGAACAAAAAGGATCAGAGAGAGCAGCAGAATGACAGCCTGCAGATGGCATAGCTGCAACAAGATCAGAGAAAAGGCAGAAGAAGAGACAGAGGTCAGGGTCGCAGAGGCAGAGGAGGAGGCCGTGGCAGATCTGATGCTTGTTATATCTGCAAAAGCACGGACATTGGGCCCGAAACTGCCCAGAGGCTAACAAAGGACAGATGGCTGATTGACTAGCAGGAGGGAAACCGAGGCCAGGGAAGGAAGGTTTGGACACTGGAACTGAGATGACAGAGCAACCTGCACATGAATCACATGAGAGCACCCACACACTGACACAGAGGTTAAAACTGAAGCAGACATGCAGACTTTGATAAATGAGGCTATTCTGTATCTTGAGCGGAGACAGGAAACTGATAAAGTACAAGGATATATGCGAAATACAAGAATGATGCATATATCAACACATGCCTGAACATACAATCAATGTGGCAGGGAAATGTTGACTCTCATAGTCGACTACAGGTACATCGTAAAAGATTCTCTGCTGTAGTGACTGCAGTGAGAACTGTCGAGCTCATTCCAGATACAGATTTTCAGATGACAAATGTGACAACAGATGATAAAACAAAGATTGATAAACACATTTTTGTTAAACGTGTCTCAGACATTCCTGAGTTAAGTGAAGTCATGCTTGTGGGCACAGAGTAAGTATGATGTAGAGCTAATTAAAGGTGCTGAACCTGTAGTTATCACCCCAAAATCCTCATACAGACCATGTCAAAATCAATATCCTTTGAGGCTGTTGAAGGCATCAAGCCAGTCGTTGATTCTCTCCTGAAAGCAGGAGTGATTGTGCCTTGTGAAAAATCTCCTGTGAGAACTCCAATCTTCCCAGTGAAGAAAATCCGGGACACCGGACAGCCAGATGAGTGGCGTTTTGTTCAAGACTTAAAACAAGTCAACTCAGCAGTGTACGCACGTGGGCCAAATGTCCCAAACCCTCACACGATCCTCTCACAGGTACCACCTGACAGTAATGGTTTTCTGTCATAGACTTGGCAAATGCATTTTTCAGCATGTTCTCCAGGCTCTGTCAAGGATTTTGTGAAGCCCCAATGATCTTTAATGCAGCATTAAAGGAAAACTTAGACACACTTACTCTGACAGAAGGGAGTGCCCTTCTTCAGTATGTTGATGACATCATGATTTGTTCAGCCACAAGACAGGCCAGTGTAAAAGACACACTGGCTCTGCTAAAGCATCTGGCTGAAAACCGACACAAAGCTAGTTTATCAAAACTAGTTTGTTTCTGAGAAAGTCACTTTCCTGGGCCATGTGATCACAGGTGAAGGAAAAACCCTCTCTGAAAAGAGAATCAAAGCCATCCAAACAATCCCAAAATCAGAGAATAACAAGCAGGTTATGAGTTTTCTGGGAATGACTTCATACTGCAGACAATGGATTGTAGGCTATGCTGAAATTGAGAGTCACCTTGCGGGAATTGTGCACGGGAAGGGCCTCGCAGCAAAAGACAAGGTGCAATGAACACCTGCAGCTGAAAAGACTATTGTTGATTTAAAGCGAGCTCTTCAGTCTCCACCGACCCTGGGTCTTCCCAACTGTAACAAACCTTTCACCCAGACAGTTGACGAGAAGGGGGGGTACATGACCTCAGTACTACTACAAGATCATGGGGGACGACTGAGACCTGTAGCCTATTTTTCATCCAAACTGGACTCTGTTGCAGCAGGGCTACCAAACTGCCTGAGAGCTGTGGCGGCTGCTGAAAAGGGAGCCATGGCATCTCGTGACATTGTGGGTTATTCAGACTTGACATTGTTGGTTCCACATCCTGTGTTTATGATTTTGCTTTAACAAAAAATATCTGATCTCTCCACAGCCAGGCGGCTGAGTTACAACACTGTGCTGCTCGATACGTCTAACATCATAGATATCCATAATAAAGGCTAGATGTCTCATCCACGCTGCTGGCCAATGGGGGTCGACGTCAGCACCTGGCGGCCATCTTGTCACAGGCAGCTCGCTCACTCGTTACATTGTGTTCTTATGGTGCATGTACTTTTTAAATAACCACAACTTCCTCAATTTTTTTTACTGATTTTCAAACGGTTTGGTTTGTTATAAATGTCAGAGATGTAGTTATGACACTGCACACTTATGAATAATTATAACCATGGAATTTCATGTGAAAATAACAGATAGGTGCAATGAATATGCACACACACAAGGTATTTATGTTAAATCAATATATAGGCTACTAAAACTCAATGTACAGAATGGCAACATGATTATATATATATATATATATATATATATATTTTTTTTTTTTTTTTTTTTTTAAATACCCCTCTCACCCCTTGCGGGGTGGTATATGTCATCCTCAAGCTCGGGTCCTCTACCAGAGGCCTGGGAGTTTGAGGGTTCTGCGCAGTATCTTAGCTGTTCCTAGGACTGCACTCTTCTGGACAGAGACCTCTGATGTTTTACCTGGAATCTGCTGCCACTCTCCCAGTTTGGGGGTCACGGCCCCGAGTGCTCCGATTACCACTGGCACCACTGTTGCTCTTACTTTCCACATCTTTTCTAGCTCCTCTTTCAGCCCTTGGTATTTCTCAAGCTTCTCGTGTTCCTTCTTCTTTATGTTGCTGTCGCTTGGGATTGCCACATCTATCACTGCAGCCTTCTTCTGCTGTTTGTCGATCAGCACGATGTCTGGTTAGTTAGCCATCACCAGTTTGTCAGTCTGGATCTTGAAGTCCCACAGGGTCTTAGCTTGGTCATTCTCAACTACCGTAGGAGGTGTCTTCCTTTTTGACCTTGGGACTTCCAGCCCATACTCATGGCAGATGTTCCTGTACATTATGCCAGCTACCTGGTTATGTTGTTCCATGTACGCGCTTCCTGCCTGCATCTTCCACCTTATACTGCTGTTATGTGCTGTACTGTCTCAGGGGCATCCTTGCACAGTCTGCACCTGGGGTCCTGCCTGGTGTGGTAGACCCCAGCCTCTATTGATCTTGTACTGTGTGACTGTTCTTGTGCCGCCATGATTAGTGCTTCTGTGCTGTCCTTCAGTCCAGCCTTTTCAGCCACTGGTAGGATTTCTTGATATCAGTCACTTCTTCTATTTGTCTGTGGTACATGCTGTGCAGCGGCTTGTCCCTTCATGAAGGTTCTTCATCTTCCTTGTCCTCACCTTCAGGTTTCAGCTGCCTGAGGTATTCACTAAGCCCTTCATCTTTGGGGGCCATCTTCCTGATATACTCCTGGATCATCATGGACAGTGGTCTTGACACTCACTAGCCCTCGGCCTCCCTCGCTACGCTTGGTGTACAGTCTCAGGGTGCTGGATTTGGGGTGAAACCCTCCATGCATTGTGAGGAGCTTTCTCATCTTGATGTCAGTAGCCTCTATCTTCTCCTTTGGCCAGTTTATTATACCAGCGGGGTATCTGATGACTGGCAGGGCGTATGTGTTGATGGCTCGGCTCTTGTTTTTCCTCATTCAGCTGTCTTTTCACGACCTGCCTTACTCTCTGTATTTGGCTGTGTCGGTCTTCCTTGCTGCCTCCTCATGGTTTCCGTTATCCTGCGGTACCCCAAGGTATTTGTAGCTGTCCTGAACATCTGCAATGTGGCCTTCTGGTAGTTCAGTCCCCTCGGTTCTGATCATCTTCCCTCTTTTTGATACCATGCGACCTTGTCCAGTCCGAACGACATTCCAATGTCGTTGCAGTAGATCCTGGTAGTGTGGATCAGTGAGTCGATGTCTCGCTCATTTCTGGCATACAGCGTGATGTCATCCATGTAGAGGAGGTGACTGATGGTGGTTCCACTGTGGAACTGGTATCCGTAGCCAGTCTTTGTGATGATCTGGCTGAGGCAGAGATGCTCACAAGTCTTTGAGCTAGAGTCCAAGTCAAGTCTCAAGTCTTTGAGCTACAGTCCAAGTCAAGTCTCAAGTCTCTCGTTGTTATAATGAATGTTGTATCACCTGCTGCGTTCAATCTAGGTTGCTAATAAAACTGCATAAATATATGGAATTCTGTAACTGTCACCTGTTTTTCCATTTACAGAGCACAACCATGTAATGTAACCGAGTCAAATAGTGAGGGGTTCAAATCCCCAAATAGTCAATTACCTATTGCCATGGGTTTCCCACAATTAATAAAATTCAAAGACGTGAGTTTCGACCGGAAGGAAGATTTATTTAAACAATTTTAAAAAATCAGGCTTTGGGCAATTTTATTTGCTGCACAAGCACAACAATATAAACAAATAAGATGTGGATGAAATTACTGCCAGAGATGCAAAGGGATAAAAGCACACGGTTAAAAACACCTCAGCATCTACAGGGGCCAGACCTGCTGGGGGAGGGTTACCTGTGCGCCACCCAGGTGCTTTGACACTACCACTCACACTGGTGCGCAGCCACCCAGACACAGCAAGATACACACAAACGTCACACAATAAAACTGTAACTGTAAGTAAAGCGTGCACACACAGCTTTCATACCCACCACCACATGCATTGAAGGGGAAAGGGGTTCCCACAATCCACCACCCTGTCAGTCCGGCAGAACACTAAAAGGAGAACAAACTGAGGAAAATCGCACAGCCAAAAACAGGGACAACCACCACACCCCTAGCAGACCCCGGCAGTTGGCAACCACATTCACAGGGGCCCATCCACCTGTAACAAATCTCATAAAATAATAGACGTAACAATTCAAACACAAATAGCAGCAGTTGATCAGGCAGGCAAAACAGCAGTGGCTATACAACCCTAAAATTACGATAATTTAATTAGTTCAGTTGTTTAACACACACACTGCCAAAACATACTTGCTAAATACCTAACAAAATGATATTTACCTCGCACAATGCAGTAAGTAGTCAACCCAGCTCTGACTCCACCTTGTTTATGGATCAGATGTATAGGCCCACTGCAATGTGAATCATGTTATCAAAAGGCACACAAACTAGTAAACTTACATAACTCTACTAGACAACATCTTTTTACCTCAGCGTTACCCACAGCCTTCTCTGTGGTGAACCTTTAGCACGACAGGCTATTCAGCTGACAAGGTCTGGACAACAGGTGACTTAACATACCTGTGATTAAAACAAATTAAAACATATTCACAAGTTAAAAACATTGTCAGCCTTGACTCATAACTCCTACAATGCTCTCTAGCCACACTGGACCACAATTCCTACAGGGGAGATCCTGAGTGCTCTCTATAAATCAACTCCTAAAGCGGCACAGGTGTGTGCCTGCTTCTAGAGCGGCAGGAGGGTGGAGCTTCACTGAGAGGCTAAAGCCTGCCTATCACAGTACAATTCAATTATTGACGGCTTATTAAATACTGTAAGTCAAAACAATCCCCAGACTCTTAAATCCAGTGTAACGTTAACTAAATAAAACTGTGACATTGCATAATCAACAATAAACTTGTAACCTGTTTTTAACTTACAGAGCACAACCATGCAGCCTAATGTACAATGCGTCTACAATTAATGACTTATTATAAGCTTATAAACTACTGTAAGTCAACAAACCCTCTTGACTTTCAAACCTCAAACCTCTCAAACTCAAAGTTAACTAAATAAAACTGTAAAGTTCCCTGGTCAACAATAAAGCGGTAACCTGTTTTTAACTTACAGAGCACAACCATGTAATGTGCAATGCAGTTAATGACAGCTTATTAACTACTCTAAGTCAACACATCCCCCAGACTCTCAAAACAATAAAGCTGTAACCTGTTTTTAACATACAGAGCACAACCATAATGTGGAATGCAATCAATGTAAGATGTACAGTCATCCCAAGAAACAGAGGCAGAGTAGGGAGGGAAATCCCACACACTACAGCAACTCTGTGTCTGTGGAAACACCCCCTCTTTCACCCTGATCCCTGGATGTCAGCGGTTCAGAACAGGGACATGCTCAGATATTTTGGTGGGCAGGGCTCAAGTGAAAAGACAATAAATCGTTTCAATTCTTTTGGTGTTATTGGAATACATATACTTCACATAACTGTGGCATTGGGCTGCAGGCATAATTAAAATAAACGTTATTTAAATACTTTTACTTTTTGTTTCACAAGCAAGATATCAAATGAGTAAAGATAACCTTCAGCTTCACACAGCCAAGCAACAGAATACTGAATTACCTGAATACATCAATGAAATGATCAAATGTTTTATTATTGTTGCTATTATGTTACATTTACCATGCACACACACACACACACACACACACACACACACACACACACACACACACACACACACACACACAATTACTGATGGTGACATGGACTTAGTTTCACATTTGAGGGAGGGCTGTCTGCAGGGGCGTTGCTAGACATAAAGCTCTACTGGGGCACGGGCCCCCACATGCCTCATGTAATTGATTGAAGTTCTGTGGTGATATGCTTTACTTATTTTCTTTATCCCATTCACCTGCAGTGACTTGTCAAATTTGTCACTCACTTCATTTACAAAAAAAAAGCATCCCAGAAAAAGGAGTAGCATAGCTGCAGTACCGGAGGCTGCAGTTTCAGGACTGCAATCCTAGGACCGGAACTGCATTTCCAGTTGTTTACTTTGATACTGCCAGCTAGCTAGCTAGCTATGTTACTCTTTACAGCCCCCCAAAGGGGGCCCATCGGTCCACACTGCACCACCAGCCAGATCGTTCCGCAAAATCATCACTACGCCGTCAACAGGCAGTGCAGGACCTACGGCAACAGCAACAACACCTTTCATCAAATTGCATTGTGACATCATATTATGCTGCGGCACTGGTATCAGACCATCTCCATCCCCTACATGAAAGTGAAATCCCCTGTTTCTGTAGCAGGTCAAAATGGCAACACTGACTGAACAATGAATGAACGCTTAGCGCCTGCATCACGCTACATTTTTATTGGCACGCGCTCCTCCGTACCAACCAAAGACACCAGTGCCTCAGCAATAAACGTCTCAAAACCATTACCACAACCCAGATCAACACATACGGGCTTTAGTTCTGAAACGCTGGAGCAGGTGACTGTGCAAAAGATTTACATCTAGTTCCTTAAAAGAGGACATTGGTCTTTCCTGTGGCCAGTGTCTTTACAATAATGACACATACCACATGAAATTATAATGAAAATAGTATCTATAAGTAATATTAACAGTTTACTAACACTATAATATGGAATTAACTTTGTACTTTTATTATTTAAATTTCCCTTATTTTCAAATCTCAATGATGACAGTTATGACTCCTCTCTGTAGCCCACTCTGCCTCTCTCCTCCTCTCTCTCCTCCTCTGTCTCTCCCCTTCTCTCTTTCTCCTTTCTCTCTCTACTCCTTCTCTCTCTCCTCCTCTCTTTCTCTCTCCTTCTCTCTCCTCCTCTCTCTCTCCTCTTCTCTCTCTCTACCCTCTCTCTCCTGTCTCTCTCTACCCCTCTCTCTCCTGTCTCTCTCTACCCCTCTCTCTCCTGTCTCTCTCTCCTCCTCTCTCTCTCTCCTTCTCTCTCCTCCTCTCTCTCTACCCCTCTCTCATAAATTCATAAAGATGCCGTTTGTTCTGTTTTTGTAGTTTATTCCACAGAAACTCTATATTTGTTAAGCTATAAGATGTTCAATAAAAGGCTTCAAGTAGACCCAGATCAGCCCAGATAATCCTGATCGGAGCACCTCTACAGTTGTCTTGACATATGAATTAATAATTAGTTAATTGGTTTAAATGTAATGTATTACAGATTACAGAATCAGATTTAATTACATGAATGTTTAATGTGAAAGAAATGTAATCTGTAATAAATGTGTTAAACAAATATTTTAAAATATACTTTTGAGGTTCCTGAGTATTTGTAACTACGTTGCACCAAGTATAGCACATCACAAATAAAACATCTAATCAATAGTGCACCTTTGATGAGCTGGACCAATCAATTTAGTATATGGTGTATTACCTCTTTTTCTTATATACATGACAGAAGAATATAAAATGAATGATTTTTCAAAAGTGTTGACGCCTAAATTGTCGGCTCATTAAAGAAACGGACACATGAGTTGTGTCAAATCTGATGCAACACCTGTTGTCCCTGAGCTGCTGCAGCACATGTGTTAAAATGTTAATGTTGTTTTTAACGGATCTGTTCTAAGAGTGTAGATCAAATATCATTTGAGACTGCAACCCACCAAAAATGCAAAGAAGATACTTCTTTATCAGTGCTGGCTCACCATGGATATGTCTGCAATCATTTGGTTCCACTAACGGTTGTAATTTTCCATCAAAAAGAAGAATTAGAAGTGATCAAATGGTGCAAGACGCATTTCCGGTAAGAGCGCAACAGCCATGTTTGATCTGAGATGAATTTAGATGACCCTGCAAATTCATGCAATACACAGGTATTAGTGTACTAAGTGTACTACAGCAAAGTGAACTAAAGGAAAGTAGAGGGAGCTGAAACAGACTAAGGATGTTAGGATGAAAGAAACCCAGATTAAAGAGGTGACGTTGGACTGAGGTGATGATCAGATCAGAGGGAGGAAGGTTATCTTACCGTGCACGAGGATCACAAACACCACAAATATCTTCATCTTCCTGTAGAAACTCCAACAAGCACAAAGTTAATCTGCTTCTCACTAAAGGAAGTCTTCAGAAACACAGTGAGGACATCAGTTCACAGCCAGCTGTCCCTTTCCTCCTCCTGATAATCTACTGAAAACTTTACTTTCGATTTGAAAAATGTTCCGTAACACTTACAGAAGGACTGTGGGGTGCAGTTAGGGGAAGGAGTAAGTCAGGTCATGTGACAAGCAACAGCAACCAGATAGAAATGTTCTTTTTGTTTCATTTCAGTTCATGAGAAATAGACAATGTCACGATCCTTTCCTGAGTGCTGTGTTTTCAGGTTTGGGTTTGTAGCAGCTATTTAGTCTGTGTTTCGGTTCCATGTCTGGTATTTATGTTGTAGTATTTACTCCTTGTCCTTGTACTTCAGTGTTGTGTTTTTTATGTAGTCTGTCTGTGTTTTGGGTTTCAGTCATGTCTGGTGTCTAGTTTACTCTGTGTGTTTGTGCTGGTTGGTCTGGTACTGTCTGTGTGTCTGGTTTTGTGGTTATCCACATCTTTAAGTTCCTTAGTATCTGTCTTGTCTCGTATCTTAGTTCTTAGTCCCGTACCTTAGTTTATGTGTACTTCTGTGTACTTATGTGAGTTCTGTTTTATCATTGCTTCAGTCTGTGTTCCTTGTTGTTCATGAATGGTGTTTTGCATCTGCGTCTCTCTGTTCCTCCCTGCTGTCTCTCTGCCTCGTTAACCCTGATCCCAGTCACCTGTGTTGCTCCCGCCCTGCTCGTTAGTCCCTGTGTGGAAATGTCTGGTGTTTCTGTTCATTCCCTGTCCGGTCATTGTCGCGTGTCTGCGCTCTGTCCCTCGTTGTATGGTTGTAGCCTGCTCTGTCTCGTCTTGCTTGTTTCCTGCCTGTTCCCCATCAGTTCTTTGGATTTTGGACCATGCACCCGTTTCTGGATTTTTCTGTTGGATCAGCTTTGTTTTCTTGGACTGTTATTTTGGATTCCCTCTGCTCAGCCACTCTGTTTGTAAGTGTTCTTGCCTCGGTTTGTTTCATTAAACCTTTGAACTATACCTGCTCCTCTCTGTGTCCTGCGTTTGCGTCCACCACCCTGCTTCCAACTTGCTCACCACACACAAACCCTGACAGACAATGGACCTCGTGCAAGACTATTTTCCTGTTCTCCTTGCAAAACTCTAAACATAACAAAATTATATATATTTGTGTTAGAGTGGGTGCTTTGCGCCTGCGAGGATCTTTTTATGTCTTTTTCTGATTGGCTGGATTTGGAGGTTCAGCCTGGGGAGTGCCTGCTGCTGATTGGTCCATTCAAACATCCTGTCTTTTAAAATATTGGGTTTCCAGCAGTCTGACAGCAGCAAACCAAGCCCTTTGTGTTTGTTTAATGTGTTAGAGCTGTGAGATTAGAGTAAGTCTCCAGAGGGCTGTTTCACAAAACCAAGATAGCGGATTAAACCGGGATTTTCCAGATATCCTGGCTGAATTTAGCCCTGACTCGGGGTCACTGAGGCAGTAGCACGTAAGTTACTGTGGAGATTTATTCTGTGCAGCTAGCCTGCTCCAGACCAGGCTAACAGCCAGGCTTAGTTACTCCTGGTCCCTTATCTGTTCAGTCAGCAGTCACTCTGATCAGAAACCAATGTGTTGTCTCAGGTTTTCCATGTTCTCATGTTTGTGTTTTACATTATTTGTATAAGCCTGCAGGAAGCACACAACCTATCCTGCAAATTTAGTATTAATTCCTCGTCAGCCGCAGCCTGTCGAAAAAAGTGGTTGTAAAATTAGCTTTGTTAAACGTTAGGTCTTTGGCAGGAAAAACATTTTTAATCAATGATTTTATAATCACTCACAATCTTAATTTCATGTTTTTAACTGAAACCTGGTTGGACCAAGATAACAGTGCAGCTGTCCTTATCGAGTCTACCCCTCCAAACTTCAGTTTGAGTGAAGCTAGAGTGCATAAGAGAGGAGGTGGAGTTGTCATTTAGTTTAATGACTCCTCCAATGCAAAAAGATGTCTTATGGGAATTTTGTTTCTTAATGGTCAGGCACCATCTTATCTTAAAGAGCTCATAGTACCTTACTACCCACCAGAGCACTGCGCTCCCAGAATGCAGGGTTACTTGTGGTTCCTAGAGTCCCAAAAGTAGACTAGGAGCCAGAGCGTTCAGCTATCAAGCTCCTCTCCTGTGGAACCAGGTTCCAGTTGGGTCAGGAGGCAGACACCATCTCCACATTTAAGAGTAGGCTTAAGACTTTCCTCTTTGATAAAGCTTATAGTTAGGGCTGGCTCAGGTGAGTCCTGAACCATCCCTTAGTTATGCTGCTATAGGCCTAGACTGCCGGGGGATTTCCCATGATGCACTGAGCTCCTCTCTCCTCTACTTTCTCTCCCTCTGTATGCAACCTCATCCCATTATTGCATGTTACTAACACAACTTCTCCCCTTTCCAGTAGTCTTGTGCTTTCTCGTCCCTCTCCTCCTATCACTTCCTGCAGGTGTTTCTGGCTCTGGAGCTGTGGAGTCTGGATCTGTGGTTGCGGGTCACCTGCTGCCCCCGTGTTCCTGCTCGACACCCTCTGCTGCAACGACTAATAGTTCTATTGTTATTATCATTAAATTACGATTATTATTATTAACACTACTGCACATATCTACACCATTTTCATTTAGAGTCTCTCTCTCTCTCTCTCTCTCTCTTCCCCCCCTCCCCAACCGGTCGAGGCAGATGGCCGCCCACCCTGAGTCATGGTGCTGCATAGTGCTGCTCTTGGTGGGAACTGTTGGGCTAAAAGCACTGCAGCCCCTGCTTGACTGTATGAAGGACATCAAAACGTGGATGAACCTAAATTTCCCCAATCTAAACGGAGACAAGACATAGATCATAGTGTTTGGACACCCTGAACTGCTTTATATAGATTCTCTCGGCCCTTTCATTTCAAACTTGGTGTTGTATTGGATAGTGCATTTAAATTTGATAAACAGATATCTGCCACTGTTAGATCCTGCTTTTTCCAGTTGAGAACTATAGCCAAGGTAATGGCCTATCTCCCTCCTAAACCTCCTGCAACTCTTATATGTGGGCTTAGACAAGTCATCTATTCAGCACCTGCAGTTAGTCCAAAATGCTGTTGCCCGCCTCCTGAGCTTTTTCACGTTCATACTGCAGCTACAGTGCTGAGATCCAGCAATCTCCTCCTCCTGGATGTACGCAGAGGCAGACTTAAAACCAGAGGCGATCGAGCCTTTAGTGTAGCTGCCCCTAACCTGTGGAACAACCTGACAGTCCAGATCAGAATGGCCCCAACTCTCGAACGTTTTAAATCACTGTTAAAAACACATGTCTTTTCTTTGGCATTACCTTTGAGTTAAGTCTGTTATTATTCCTGACAATTTTAATAACACTGTATATCGTATACTGTATATTATAAAGTTTTATTGCTGTACTTTTACTGTGTAAGTAATGTCTTCTTGTTGTATTTAACCTGTGAAGCACCTTGGCCAACCTTGGTTGTTTTATGTGTGCTATATAAATAATGTTGATATTGAAATATAAATTAATTACAGCTCTTGCATCAGTGACTTAACGTTGATGTTAATTGACTGTTGTGGTGCATGGGAGAAACGAGCTAACATTAGTTTATTCAAGCACAAATGAGCCTTGTCACACTACACCACCATTATATTTTCCTGACATCACAATGGAATAATATTAACAACAAAATTAACTTTGCATTTGTATTAGCTAACTTTAGCTAACATGTGCACAAACACAGTTGTCTGTAAAGTAAGTTAGCCTATTTGTCCATCCTGCCACTAACCATAAATGTGAATGAAAAACACATAAGGTCATCCCCAATAAAATACAATTTTGAATGCTTACCTTGTCTAAAGACATTTCCTGTCTTTCCACCTTGTTCACTTTCGAAGCGGAGTAATGGCGGACAGCACAACACTGGTGAACAAAGCGCAAGCTGGTGTGACGTCACGTGGAACTATGATTTTCCCTTAATCCAATGAAAAAATGCAGTTTAAATGAACGACAGAGTATCACTTTTTTCAGTGAAAGTGCAAACAGTGGGCATAGCCTCTGTCTGCAGTCTGGAAGGTACTACATCCAGGGGGCAAGTTGTTTGTGACTTTTTGCACATCATTGAGGCAGAAAGAGATATTGAATTAAAGAAAATAAAGGATATAACATCACATAATCTGTGGATTAATGGCTCTGGGAAAGGTGGGTTTTGGGCCTGTTAATAGTCTGGAATCTGATTTTTTCAATTTTATCTATGAAAAATATTTTAAACTGCTCACAGAGATCGAATGATGCAAGTGTTCAGGCATCAACAATCCAGTTTAGTGTTTTACATAATGCTTTTGGGTTTGGGGAATTCTCGGCAATTTAGGTGGGAAAAGTAGGTCGTTCGTACCTGCAGCATTGTAATTCGTCATTAACGTACTTGACGTTTGCAGGCCTTCCATTTACACTTTGCTTTGTGTACCTCCGTCTTCAGTGAGCAAGTGTGGTTATTAAGCTACATTCATACTTTGAAGTAAATTTGTTTCTGGTTCTGATAGGAGGAACGGAGATAAATGTTGTCAGACATTGATTGTTAAAGAATTTCACCAGGAGCTCCATGTTAAAGATGACATGAAGTTCACATGAGCCCAAAATGCATTTTAAATGTACTAGCTGTTGTTGAGTTGATTTTGCAAGAGATTGACAAATGATTCGATAAAATTATAATAATTATAATGTGCAAAATGCAGCCTATATTCAAATAATCACAGCAATCAAAATATAAAGAACAATGTAGTCAACAAACTATCCAGCCCACCCTATTTTCTTCTCTGCTGGAGGTCAACAGGTGCTTAAATCAACTATGCAGAGAACACCACTCGCATCCACATGACCTACCCAAAAATGTGCTACAACAAATAAGAATTCTAAAAAAAATAATATGATTTACAATTAATTACAAATTTGCAATAAATCTGTTCATGACTCCTATAATACCAATGCGCTAACCATTTGCCTAAACTAAACTTAATATTAAGACCAACACTCCCATGAGCTCACATATGGTCACTTGCACAGGTGCATTTGCTGTTTAAACAACATAGGCGCTTGGCATGAAAATGACAACAGCATCAGTTGTAAACTACCAATGACACGCTGAAACCAATAGTACTATACTGTAATTATAAGAACCATTATTAATTTTCAGTCAGTACCACTGCCGCTTTTACTGTTTTTGTTGATGTTGTGCTTTGTTGTCCTCTCAGTCTACAAGGTGGAGGTGGATTTACTGGTGGAGTCTGTCCAGCTGCCCTGCAAAACCACAGTTGACATGCCTAAAAATGTCACAGTGGAGTGGACAGACGGAGGCACCAGGAAGGTCCACGTGTATCAGAACGGCTCTGACCAGCCTGACCAACAGGACCAGGTTTACAGAGACCGAACAGAGATGAAGGAAGACCTGCTGAGAACTGGAGACCTCAGTCTGACCCTGAAATCCCCCACAGACAGAGACGGAGGACGATACAGGTGCATCGTCACCAGCAGAAACATCCTGAGAGTGAAATCAGTTGTTCTCAGGGTCAAAGGTCAGTATGCAGACTGAGGTCAGAGTCTCTGTGTTTGTCTCTGTCTAACTGTCCTCTGTCTCCTCTGCAGAGAGAAGCAGGAACAGAAGCAGCTCCACTGATCCAACTCCTCTGATGGCCGATCAATCTGTTTGATCTTTGATCATTGATCCGATCTGACTCTGGATCAGAGAGAAAATGGAGGTGAAGCAGCTGATGGAGGACGGATGAAGACAGGAGGACGCTTTGTCAGCTTCTTCTTCACTCTGACTCCTCCTACTGACTCTCACACACAGTCTACACACTCACTATTGATTCCTGCTGATCAGTGATGTCAGAGTGAGGTCAGCGTGATGTCACATGTTGATTCGCTCTGGGATCTGGACTGAAAGGTGTCCTGTTAACTCAGCTTTTGCATCCTGCTCTGTTCTCCCCTCTGTGAATATTATTGAAGAGAAGAGTCTTTCAGAGCGGAAGGAGGGAAACCTTAACAGTCAGGACACAGAGAGAAACAGGAAATGAAAGAACACACTTCTGCTCTTTTGATTTCCCTCCTTCAGTGTTGTAATTTTCCCTTCCTCTGGCAGATCTTCCAAACCGCCCTCAGGAGTGTGAGTTATCTAAATACTCTGAGTACTACTGTGTTTTCTCACTTTAATAAATCTCACAAAGACAACTGTTTCTGTAACTTATTTATTTTTTCAGTTCTACACGAGGAAAAACACATTTTCCAGCACCCAGTGAAAATACTGCAGCCTATTTACAGTGTTTCTGAAATAAGACTTAATTTCTCTCCAGCTTTTTTCAAGATTCTCTCAGATTTAGACTTTCAGCTAAAACCAGGCTGAAACACTCTGAGCTGGTTTGAAGAGAACCAGAAGTGTCTTTATGAGATGGGAGCGGTTGCTGCAGAACATACAGACATTAAATGAGCTTCAGATCCAGCAGCTCCAGCCGGAAAATGCTACGAACACATGAACAGAATCAGAAACATCAATTTAATGAGATCATCTGCACAGAACACAAAGAGAGGAGACCTTCTCATTTTTACACTGATGTATTAGTACTTTGACTTCAGGCTCTGAATACTTCTTCCACCACAGTTTCAGCTTCAGATCATAAAACACTTCCAAACCATCTCTGCTGGTCTTTCCACTGTTCCAACAATCACCAGCTCTGGTTTGTTGGAAATAAACCCTGAATTCAGGAGTTAGATGAGAAGAGAAACTGCTTCTGTTCAGTGCCAACACATACACAGCTCACAAGCACTAACATGCACAAGTGGTTGGACCTGCAACCAAAACAGAGAACAGGGAAGTTGGATGACAAAACACACAGGAAGTTGAGAGCCAAAAACTTAGTCAGTCAGTGAGTGTTCATGGTTTGTGATTTACAGTTTCAGCTGTAGTAACAAAAATGACATGCAGTGAACGATAAATTACAGTTTGGTGTTGTGATTGATTATAAACCAATCACATCCGTTGAGAATTTATTACTCTGTCTTTTAATTCACGTCCATTTTCATCATCTCCATTTCATTGTTTATTTTTGTTACTTCCACCCTTGAGCCTACTTTCATTAAATGATAATTATAATATTTAAAACCCAATTTGGGGTTGATGATTGATAAATGAAAATGATAAAACATGGTTCCATCTTCATCCTATTGCTACTGTTTCAATCAAATCACTTGAATATTTATCACTCTACTTTTCAATCCACATCCATTTTTATCATGTAATATTTGTTAGTTTCATCTCTCATAATAAAGCAGATGACTACACCTACTGTTACTTGTTCTTGTATTCAACGTAGTGAAAAAACGCGCTATAGAGCTGTTTGTCAGTTTGGGCTCCTGTAGAAATGTGGTGGCATGGTGACGTCCATGTAAGATAAGATTATGTAGATAGAAATGTCTCATTCAAAAGTATTAAAAACATTTATTATTTACTTTATGTAGGGTCTTTCTAAACCACTAAAAACATAGTTATGGATCTTATTTATTATTATAGTTTTCCTCTTTCAGCCAAAGATCATGAACTTCCTATTAGATCCCCACTGAACCACCTGCTCCAAGGCCTTTTCAGTTTAAAAGAGCAGATAGCCAGCATTCTCCTCCAGATGATGCCATCCTCCTCAGAAAAGACTTCCCAAAACCATTGTGAAAAATGTCATTTAACATCACATTGAAGAGGACTGAACTAACAACTGAGCCTCAGGCCTCCCCACCTCCCAGCTGAACTGACCCTGATTGTTGATCCCTTTTTCTGAAAAAGGAGCAAAAACTCAATTTACTTTCAGTGAGCTTGACACTGTGAGACCCCCCCTCAAATAAGGATTTATCTTAATGAAGTTCTGACATGTTGTTGGAATTAATAAATAGTGAGATACTGCTTCCCAGGCAACTCTACAGTCAGCTAGAAGACCTTCACGTTTGCTGCTGCTCTTCTCAGCATCTGGGATGATTGTGTTGTTCCCAGGTTTCCAGCCTTGCCTTTCCCTTTTTTCTCACGAGCTCAAACTGTTAATAAACTTGTGCTGCGCATAGAAGTGTATTATGATTGGCAGGAAGTTATGAAGTTCCTGCCAAGTTTGGAAGTTTTTCAAGCCGTTACATGGTGGGCCAGAACATAAATCAAATTATTTTCAATTCTGGTATAGGCTCAGTCAGTGTGCAGGACTCCTGTTGGAAAGGTAGTATAATTGATCCTAACTTAATGTGGATATTGTTTTCTCCCTTTTTAATAAAAATTGATATAAGGACACTTTTGCACATGCTCACAATAAAGTATGTGCTGCAGTGTGTGTGCATCCCGGCATTTGATCCGCATTCATAAAACTGTGGACGCTTATTTTAATTTCCCTGAGGAAATTCAGGAGAATCCAATCACGCTTTTGCTGACGGCATTTCAGAGGTGTGTCAAGCTAACCAGAGACTCTTTTTGAATGTCCTTCAGAACTTTTCAAAGTAAAAACTCGAAATAAAATATTGCTGTAAAAAATGTTCTCACGCTATTATTTTGGAGGCACAATAATGTGCAATGAATAAAATTATTTACAGTTAATCTTACACTGTAGCTAAGGGACCCATCTCAAGTAATGGGCTACAGTAGTGTAACAATGTCCCACATACATCTTCTGAACGTCTTTATTTCCATTCTTTACACACATTACACAAGACTAGTAAGGTAAGCAGAGAGTTGTAAAAAACTTTGAATGTTCTCTACTTGTTAACCCGTAGTTACACAGCATTATTGACAATGACCTTACCAGGTCAGCTGGACGTGTTTTCTAACCTTAGCCCGCATTATTTTATATATTATATTGTATTTATTATAAACCATGGTTATAAGGATTAAAATATCTGTGTTTTGTTATATTGATTCATGAGTTAGTCCTTTTATTTGGAAAATGTTTCTGGATGAATCAATCAAACAAACAGGTTTGGCTTCATAAATGTGACAAATCAAAAAGACTTCAGCACATTAATGTTAAACCCCAACAAAATGAAATGTGGCCAGAAGGGACGTCACAATACCAGGAATTTTGTACTCTACACTGATACCAGTGAAATTCCATAAATAGATTTGATGACATAAATGAGCAAGATGTTGAAAATTTAAAGTTTGCATGTTTAATCAATAGTAGCTACAATTAATTGATGACTGAAATGGATCGTATTGACCTTTTCAGACGGTCCCTAACTCCTACGCCTACAGTAACAGGAGCATTGGACAGCTGAGACAGTGAAAGGGACAAAGTGATCTGTGGCAACCTCAGAAATCTTTCCAGGGGGTGGCCAGATGGGGTCCGAGGTCATCCTCGGGTGGCACACTCAAACCAAAATCCCAGACTGAATTTCAAGAATTCTATTATGCACTACATAGCTAGCTAAATATTACATAAAAATATGAGTTAAGGAATAACACATTGATATACTGTACTTCATTACTATATCCAACAACGGTTAAGTCAAGGGTAACTGGACTTGGTTGAAGATATCTTCAGGCTGGTAGGTGCCATGTCTCCAGTGAGAAGGAAAGACATCAGTGAACACCAGAGACAGCTGGTCAATGCAGAGCTTCAGGGTGGAGGAGAGACCAAGACTTAGAGATGAAATCGTTTACAATACCATGTTGGAATATTCAAGGTCTGAGATCATCAGTTTTACAGGAGACATGGTGCAGAGAAGATGTTTCCACTGGTCATCCTCACGGCTACACTGAGATCATTATACCATCAACAAAACACCCCACAATAACCCAAGGCAGAGATTCAAGAGGCCTGATTATATGGTGTGAATCAGAACTGAGCCAGTCCATCACAGTTATTAAAAAAGAAGAATCCCATATATGGTTGAAAATAAACAGAAAGGTGATTTGTGCTGAGCAACATGTCTACATGTGTGCCATCTATATACCTCCATCAGAATCCCCCTACTACAACCCTGATATTTTCTCTGTTCTTGAGGAGGAAATTTACCATTATAAAACCATGGGAAATGTATTAATCTGTGGGGACTTGAACGCTCGAACAGGGGAAAGAGCTGACACTATGAACACCCAGGGAGACAAACACCTACCTGGAAGCACCTGCTTCCCCCTCCCTGAATGTCCTGCTAGAAAGAGCTTTGACAAGCTTACTAATACAAGCGGTTTTACAATACAATAAACAATACAACAATACAAGCTTTTACAGCTCTGTCGTACACTGGGTCTGTACATAGTCAGCGCCAGGCTAAATAAATGTGGTGTGCCTCAGGGGTCGGTCTTAGGACCCATTTTGTTTTCCTTGTATCTGCTTCCCCTTGGACATATCATCCATAAACATGGCATTTCTTTGCATATTTATGCTGATGACACACAAATATACTTGCCCATCAGATCCACAGACCCTGGAATGCTGAGTTCACTTAACAACTGCCTTTGTGAAGTTAAAAAATGGATGTAAAATAATTTCCTCCAGCTGAACTCAGACAAAACAGAAATCCTGGTCATTGGGTCCCAGCAGATCGCAAAACAAATACTGCCATCTGCTGGTTCCCTAGTAAATCACATTAAGCCTGTGGCAAAGAACCTTGGTGTTTGGTTTGATAGTAATTTAAATTTCGAGCAGCACACCACAAAGCTTGTTCAATCATGTTTTTATCAACTTAGAAACATAGCAAAAATTCGATCTATGTTAACTTTTAAGGACACCGAGACCATTTTACACACCTTCATCTCATCACGCCTGGATTATTGCAACAGCCTTTTCAAGATAAAAGCTCCCAGTATGTTTTAGAATTGACTTTAAAATTCTATTGATCACTTTTAAAGCTCTTCATGGCCTCTCGCCTTGTTATATTTCTGACCTTTTAGTCTCATACGCACCAGCACGTACCTTGAGATCCTCGGGCAGAGGTCTGTTGTCTGTTCCAGAGTCTCGACTGAAAACTAAAGGGGACAGAGCGTTTGCTGTCAGGGCCCCGAGGCTCTGGAACAGCCTGCCCGAGGAAATCAGGTCGGCTGAGTCAGAGAACTCTTTTAAGTCCCTTCTTAAAACATGCTTTTATAGGAGAGCTTTTCCCGATCTTATTTGACTTTATCTTATCCCTTTTATTGTATTCTATTTTACTAATATTTCTGTATTTTAGTCTTTTCAGTGTTTTCATGCTTTTATCTTGCATTGTTTTGGTATTATTGTCTTTAAACTTGTTAAAGCACTTTGTAACTTGTTTTGAAAAGTGCTCTACAAATAAAGATTATTATTATTATATATTATGTTATTGTCTAATTTGAAAGCCTCCAAACCAAAATCTCAACAAATGAACAGTAGCAAATGGTTTGACACTGAATGCAAAAACCTAAGGAAGAATTAGGATTTACACTGGTGACGCTGGGGACATGTCCCTACCACTTTTTCAAATGGCAGATTTTGTCTCCAAAGCATAATGTGTTTAAAATAAATTCTCCGCTCATTCTCATGAACCCAATATTGTGATCTGATTTCAATGTAATGTGACGCCCTTGATATACGCTGTCAATATGAGGCCACTCTGTAACATGTACACCCTAAAACCTAAGAATGAACAACACAGCAAGAACCAGCTCTGTGAAATTGAGGAATCCCTAGAGTCCAACCAGTTCTGGGAGAAATGGAACACCCTATAGAAAGCCCAGCAGGATGATATGGCAATCCAAGATGGAAATACTTGGATTAATCACTTTAGTGAATTATACAGTAATATTACAAAAAATGATGATCAGTACAAGATATGAGGCAGCAATAAAAACAACCAAAACCCACTTCCCAAATATACCCCAAACCAGTGGAAACTCAGATAGAGTCAAATGTAATAATGGTTCTGAAAGTTCAAATTATTATTATCTTCATTGTCTGTTTTTTTTTTTTTTTAAATCTCACATTTGGTACTAATATTTTTGTCAATACACACACACATATTTACTCTTTTATTTACTTTATTTTTAATAAGTATATTTATTAATATTATTATTTTATAGCAAAGAATAGTGATATTTAATGAACTGTATAACATTATTTGTTCTTTTGTAATTTATTTGTAGCTTTTGCAATATTGTTGTTTTACATTCATGCCAATAAAGCTTGATTGAATTGAATATAATTGAATTGAACTGAATTGGGAGAGAGACACGTAGACAGACAGGTGGAGAGACAGACAGAGAGAAAAGAGGTAGAAAGACAGGTGTAATGGAAGAATGGCAGGTAGACAAGTTGAGAGACTGGTATAGTAGACAAACCTGTAAGACAAGACAAACAACACATGTAAAAAAAAACAGACGGGTAAAGAGACAAGATAACAAACAGGTAGAGAGACAGACTACATCACTACTAGATCACTACATGGATTATAATAACACCTGTCTCTCCTTCTCTCTCTCTCAGATAAAGACTGAAACCTGCAAGTTGGAGCATCTGAACAAATACACTCAGGATGTTATGAAAAGACCTACCAGCAGCAGACACTCCCTAGGCTGAGCTCATATATCCAGCCAATCAGAATGAGACTTCTTTAGGACATTCAAAGGTCCTCACAGGCACAGAGCACCCACTCTAACACAAACACAGCCACACAAAACACAGGTTAGGAAATACGACTGGATGGTAACAGTTCTTAAAATCAACTCTGTGATGTCACTGCATCAACAGCTGTGTAAAATTTTGTCTTTTCAGGTTCTCTAATACAACTGCTGCCCTTTATTTTCAGACAATGTTACTGTAGCTCTTCACATTACCTGACTTTCCACTTCCCTTACCTGCCCCACCTGTTTCTTAAATATTACACAACTGTTCAAATCGAAAGTAAAGTTTTCTGACATAGTCAGTAGATTATCAGGAGGAGGAAAGGGACAACTGGCTGTGAACTGATGTCCTCACTGTGTTTCTGAAGACTTCCTTTAGTGAGAAGCAGATTAAAGACGACTTTGTGGTTGTTGTAGTTTCTACAGGAAGATGAAGATGTTTGTGGTGTTTGTGATCCTCGTGCACGGTAAGATAACATTCCTACCTTTGATCTGATCATCACCTCAGTCCAACGTCACGTCTTTAGTCTGGATTTCTTTCATCTTAACTTAAATAATCTGTTTCAGCTCCCAATACTATCCTTTAGTTCACTTCCGTGTCATGAGCTGTGTACACTGTGTACTTGCAGATTGTGAATTTGGACAGGGTAGTGTCTCAAATCAAACATGGCTGCACTTACCGAAAATGAGGATTGCACCATTTGATCGCGACTTCTTCTTCTTCATTGAAATTTGCAATTGTTAACAGTGCCAAAACATTACAGAGTATCCATGGTGTGCCGGCACTAAGGAAGAACCGTTTTCTTTGGATTTTGGCCGATTGCAATCTCAAATGGCATCTTCTATCAACTTCACAATCCTCCATTTGCCCATTCTCGGTGAAAGTCCAGTTTCTGGACTTCCTTCCTCTGAAACTGTAGTTCTTACAAGGTGTATAGCCATGTACTGTAACCACTGTACCACTGAACACAGTGGTAGTTGTTGTAGGGCTGTGTTTTATGAGGGGTGGAAAATGTCAATATTCATGCATACCAGTACATCAAATGCCCATCTGTTACCAAACTAGCACACCACCTAACCTAGTCAAACCATAGGGATAAAAAATCCAGGACTGAGCCACATTAAGTCTGAACTCTTTTTCCCAGCAAAAATGGTAAAAAAAATAGAGCAGTTCTAGTTACATGTGGTGCTGTGTGGTGTAATAGTGTTAGGTGGAATTAAGTTGACACTGTCAACATTCATTTCTGTGCCAATTTTGGTTGGACAGAGTTTAATTGAAATACGTTATTTATAATTTAAGCATTAATCCATTGTTGCGTCAGTGTGAAATCATATCCGCAAAAATTCAGAGGGATTTGTACATGTGAAACAGATTTTGCACGTATGATTTTCTCCAACATATACCACGAAAACTTATAGACAATATCCACTATCCACTAACATGTATTTTTTTCATTTGTGTTTGTGTTCCCCAAAAATACATTGTGATTTGCAAAAATGCATATTTATAAATAAAATAATTAAAAATTCATTATTAATTCATTATTATATTATTTATAATTAAACGTTTTACTGCAAGGTGAGCATTTCGCAAGGTGAGCATTTCGCAAAGCATGTGTAAAATATTAAAAATATTCAACTTGAGAGAGTGTGTAGAGGAGCCAACTAGGGATGGGGATCGAGACCCGGTTTTAGTTGGACCGGGTTCTAAAATTTCTCAAAACCCGAAAATCAATAAGATCTTAGCTTATCGATACTGCTATCGAGACTAGTGGGTCCTATAATGCAGTGGTTCCCAACCTTTTTTCCTTGGTGCCCCCCCTACTTTTATCTAAGAAAAGCTGAGCCCCCCCAACAGCTGACAAAACACGCACACAGAAAAAGATTATGTAATTACTTACTAATAGCGAGCAAATGTAGTCAAATGACACCTCCATGGCTCTGTGTAAATCAATGCCAGCTCTTGCTGACCTTCACCAATAGTCTCCTGGTGTTTTGTTTCTTGGTATTGTTTAATACCACAATAGGGGTTCATGAGGTATAATATTTACAAAATATAGACCTATAGCTTGCACTAACTTAAGGGTTTTCAACATATACTTTACTTGGGTGGGCCGGACAGGTATAGTTGCACCTGCCACAGTATATTTGGCAACCCACTTTAGCATTTTGCAGAGAAACGGTGAGGGAGAGGTCATCTGGTATTACATTAACGGACAACGTGGGAAATGTTACATTACAGAGCAAAAGTGAACGCACCACTGCAGATGTCACTCACTAACGTTAAGTTTCAGTTTCGATCCACATCTTTTCTAGCTCCTCTTTCAGCTTTTGGTATTTCTCAAGCTTCTCATGTTCCTTCTTCATAATGCTGCTGTCACTTGGGATTGCCACATCTATCACTGCAGCCTTCTTCTGCTGTTTGTAAATCAACACGATGTCTAGTTGGTTAGCCACCAGTTTGTCAGTCTGGATCTTGGAGTCCCTACAGGATCTTAGCTTGGTCATTCTCAACTACCTTAAGAGGTGTCTTCCATTTTGACCTTGGGACTTCCAGCCCATGCTCAAGGCAGATGTTCCTGTGCACTACGCCAGCAACCTGGTTATGGCTGTCCATGTACGCTGTTCCTGCCTGCAACTTACACCCTGCTGTTATGTACTGACTACTAATCTTAGCCGCAATGACACTTGCCAGGAGCTTCCATGTTGTGCAGACACTATTGGCCGTTAGTTGGATAGGATTGTTCCCTTCTGGGGATCCTTTATGATCAGGACTGTCCGTCCTTGGGTTAACCATTCTGAGTGGGTCTCCCATTTCTTGATGACTCCAGTGTTCTGAGTGTGCACAGCTGTAGGGTTAACCGGTTGACATGCATACTGTTGAGTGCCCAACTTAAAACTGAATTAGCTGGTACATCCTGAATTGAATCACCACATTAAGCTTCTGCGTTTACGTGCTTTATTGTCCGAACACAGGTTATTGCCATCCCACAACCATGTCTTCACGCTATCTCCCCCGTTACTTCCTGTTTTCCTAGACACATAATATAACCAACACATGACATCCCTTCTTTTCTTGGAAATAAACTGAAACAAACACTGTACCGTATCGTACACAAGTGGTTATTACCTTTTTGTTTTCCTTTCTATAACACCTATTATCTTTGGCTTTGAAACCGCCTTACCACTTGTCTCTTCAACCATATACAACATAATACACATCACTTCAACACAGAATCACAAAGTCTGTCAGGTGCCCTTTTGTTGCTAGTACAAGTGCTCGTGCTTGTAGATTTTGTGGCAGCACTATTCAATTTCCTCGTAGGACTATGTATCCCACTACACACAGTTCATTCGCAATTGGTGCAAATGATTTACAGTTGTCAAAGTGTCCTGTTGTGATAGACTTGCGTACCTCCACTAGTACTCGGTCAGTAGCAGAGGCCTCCTCCACCTCTTGGGTAGTTAGTGCTTTGGATGTGGCACTTATGGCTACAAACTTCACATACTCTTCTGATTCATGTTTGTGTTCCTGCTTTTTTCTGTGTTTCCTACCAGCCGTGACAGCGGGTCTGCTATGTTCTATTTACCAGGTATGTGCACTACTCTGAAGTCATTTGGTTGCAGTCTGAGGACCCATCTCTCTATGCATGCACATAGTTTGGATGGTTTATGATCTGTGACAAGATCAAACTTCCTGCTATACAGATATGGATGCAGCCTCTCACAAGCCCACACCAGAGCTAAGGCTTCACGGTCTGTCTGAGAGTACCTCCGGCTCACAATCTGTCAGACTGCGGCTCACATAGCACACAGGTACCATCTCTCCCCTATGGTCCTGCATCAGTACTGCTCCTACACCTACAGGTCTTAGACTTGCGTCTACAATTACCTTGGTTGGTGCTTTTTTCTGTTCTGGTCCAAAGTTGAACTGTGTGTCCTTTCTGGTCAAACATTGTATTGGCTCTGACAGCGTTGAAAACTGTGACATGAAGTCCCAGGAAGCTTCTCATCTATGTGGCATTCTCTGGCTTCCACCACAGCTCTCACTCTCTCTTCTGTTGGTCCAATACCTTTCTGTGACAGAAGTAGCCCCATAAATATCAGTCTGTGCATGTTGAACTGACATTTTTCTGGATTCGGTGTTAGTCCACATTCCAAAAGTCTCCTCATGGTCACATGCAGGCATTTGACATGTGTTTCCTGGTCTGGTGCGTGGACTATTACATCATCTGAGATGTTCTCAACACGTTCAATGCCAGCTATAACATTGGCTATCTCATGTTGGTACTGCTCACTGGCTGACGACACACCAAATTTTAGTCTCTTGTACCATTTTATACTGCAAATGTAGTTATCTCACGTGACTCTGGGGTCAGTTCCAATTGATGGTAGCCCCATTTCAAGTCTAGCTTGCTAAATATAGCGGAACCATTCATGCCTTGGAGTATCTCATCCACTGTGGGAATAGGGTACCGTTCTGTCACAATAGCCTCATTACCTCTTCTCATATCTAAACACATCCTGATGTCCTTGTCAGGTTTTGGGAGTACCACAACTGGGTTTTCCCAGGGGGTGAGGACTTGGACACATTCTATGATGTCCATATCAATCAGTTCCTTGATCTTTTCCTCAACTGCTTCCCAGAGGTTGTATGGTATTCGTTGGTTTGGCTGAGCCACAGGTTTTACCTTTCGGTCAATGTACAGGCTTATCTGCTTGGTGTTCAATTTTCCTACTCCCTTGAACACGTCTGGATATTGCTGCTGAAGTGTGCATTTAATGTCTTTAACAACTGAGACATTTTCACCTATTTCAATACCCCTAGCTTCATGGCTGTCTTTTTTCCTAGGAGTGGTTCACCATTGCCTTTAAACAATGAACTCTGCCTGATCAGTCCTGTCACCTATTTTGATTTCACACTTGAATGCCCCCTTAACTGGCAGAGACTGATTGGATGAGTATGGGTACAAATTTTTCTGTTGTATTGGCACACATGAATAACACTTTATCTGTTGTGCCTTCAGTCTGTCCGATACATTTTCTCCCATCACATTACTCGTAGCACCTGAATCTATTAGCATTTTCAACTCTAAACCAATACATGACACATACATTGGTTTAGGCACACACTCCAGTGATGGTTAAGGTTAGGGTAAAGGGCCTGCGGGGGGGCTGTCAATGCCTTTAACACTAACATCACAATCTAGCTGGCTGGGTAGCTACTATCTGCTAACACTTCTCCTACAGACACCAAAGGGTACCGTTGGCGTCAAAAATAACTATCTTTGTCACACTTTCCCAAAGCATAGATATTTGATGCCCTGACATAAGAACAGGCTACAACACACACACAGGGCATAATAATCTCATCAAATCTGATGTTTATATTTACATTTTGCTCATGGATAGTGACGTTACTGCCTGAATTATCCAACCTTTATCAATAAAGGTCATGGCAGAAGCAGTAGAACAGGTGGATGGTGTGGCTTTGATCATCATCCACAGGGTATTTTCTACCAAAAACAGATTACCAAGCGACATATTGGCATTTATTCTGCATACAACGTGATGTTTAGCAACTTTGAACATTGCTTACATCTGCAAGACATTTGTGTGGTATCTCGGTCGTGATTTGTCTTTACAAATTGTAATGTATGTGTGACTAAGAGTATGTGCATTTACAATGAGAGTGTCAAAGATTTAACTCCATAGAATAAGACACGAAATAAGGCTGCTGTAATTGAACCTCTGTCTGTGTGCCCTCATAGTTAACCAGCCTGCCTCAGCTGTGGAGCTGTATGAGGGGGAGGAGTTTGTCCTGCTGCCCTGTGAGTTTACCACCTTTGACATAGACTACCCAACTGTGGTGTGGAGCCGCTGCGATATCAATCCTCCAACCGTCCACCAGCGTCAGCAGGGAGGTGATGAACTTAAAGACCAAAACCAGCTTTACAGCGGCCGAACATTCATGATGACTGACGCTCTGGAAACTGGAGACCTCAGCCTCAACCTGACAAAACTCCAGCTCTCTGACAGCGGCACCTACACCTGCACCGTCATTGCGCTGGGAGGACAAAAGAGAGTGACAGAGATACAGCTGCTGGTGAAAGGTGAGCAACAAACCCAGTCCTGTCTTTTCCCTGAGTATTAGTGGCTCCCTCTGAAGACGTGATGGAGAGATGGAAGGAAGAGATGTGAGGAAAGAGGAGTTCAGACAGTTAACACACTGATTTTAACACCATGTTGAGTCAGAAAACAGAGTCCATCTAAACATTGAGAGCAACATGACAGCTGAGGGGCTTCTGTTATTTGTCAGGTGGTGTCAGTTTTAAATTGTGCTGATCAGCTGCAGCGTCCAATCACAGACAGGACCAGGTTGGTTTCTGGGTCACCTGAGGATCCAGGAGGAGTAAGACATGATATAAGGCTGCTGTGATTGAACCTCTCTGTCTGTGTGACCTCACAGTTTCCCAGCATGCCTCAGCTGTGGAGCTGGATGAGGGGGAGGAGTTTGTCCTGCTTCCCTGTCAGTTTAACACCTTTGAACTGGACCACCCCACAGTGGTGTGGAGCCGCTACGATCTCGATCCTCCAACCGTCCACCAGCGTCAGCAGGAAGGTGATGAACTTAAAGACCAAAACCAGCTTTACAGCGGCCGAACATCCATGATGACTGACGCTCTGGAAACTGGAGACCTCAGCCTCAAACTGACAAAACTCCATGTCTCTGACAGCAGCAGCTATACCTGCACTGTCAGATTGTTAGGAGGACAACGGAGAGTGACAGAGATACAGCTGAAGGTCAAAGGTCAGCAACAAACCCTAACACCTGCTGTAGTTACATTCAGAGGTCAAAGGTCATGTTCTTTATGTTTCTGGTTCCCACAGAACGATTTCCACCCTGGGCCAAAGTTCTCCTGGTTCTCCTGGTTCTCCTGGTTGTTGTTGTTGTTGCTACTGGGGGTCTTCTGGTACATTTCCGGCAGTATTTCATGTCAGGTATGTCACTACTACGCTTCCAGCATATAAATGTATTATTATTTGTAGTTGTAGAAAATAGTCACAGGCGTATCAGTGTATTAAACATGGCCAAAGCTTCAAATAATGAGGTTAAAGTATTTAATAGAAATTCCTGTGACCAAAACCTCAGCTTTCCTCCTTTTCTGAATGCTCTGTTTTCAACAGCTTTTTCTACTAACTGCTGCATTCTACGACACACGGAGTTAGATGGAGGCGGTGTTCCATATACCTTAAAATTTCAATAGCCGAGTCCCAAATAGCTGCCTATCTCCTTTACTGGGCTGGTGTGGGAACACATTTTGACAAATAAACGCAAGTCCCCATTAAACACCTGATCTGGTTTTCATAGAAGTTCTTTGGATGTATAAAACCTCTTAAACCCCGCGGGTCACCCACTTTAGCTGCTTTTAAGCTGCTTGGATTGTTAATACAAATATTAATGTTTAAACGTATGTCAGTATGGACATTCTGCACATCGTTAGATCGGTTAGATTCTCCACAATTTAATTGTTCAATTCATTTAATGGAAACAACGAGCCCCAAAGTCTAATTCTTATAGATTTACCGGTGTAACCTGCATGGTACAAGAGAGGAAAGAAAAAAAGTGCTGACTGCCGTTACCTTAGAAGTGCTCGTTAAGTCGCTTGTTAGGCCGAATGTGTCCGTTCCTTGATTATTTATATTCCTTTAGTCTGTAAGCGTCCACCAATCAAAAGAATCAAAACAGCTTTTTGTAAAAATGAACCCTAGTTGTAAATCCTGCCATGTGAAGTCATTTGAAGTCGCTCTCTGTCTGCTAAATTCTCTAATCCTGCACCATGTTGTTTTTCATGATGTTACTTCAAAATAAAAGCACATGTCAGAGCTAGATCAAATCCAATATTTTATTGGATAAGCTTTATACAAGTAATATTCTGTGTGAAATAAATAATGTGTTTCAAAGTAGTTTCAGTTTTGTGCAAAAGGAATTAAAGGCCTGTCCCATATGGACGCCTGTCCCAAATATAGGCAGGGTCAATTCAGTGATTTTAGCCCGGGCTATTTATCAAAGTTTTATGGTTTGGTCAATTCCTTGGCCAATTAGTGACCTCTGTCTTAAGAGTATTGAAACATGGCTCCCATGTGATGGTATCGCCACAGTGTCCTATCCATTGTGACAAGATTGCCTGTAAGATTGTCTCTAAGTATATGTGTTCACTAGTAATATATTAATGTAGATAACTGCTCATTTCTGAAATATGTTGAATTGTTAATTTTATTAGTTGATGACATGTGACTGCAGCTATAACAACATAGGTTAGTTTCCTGATTTAAGCTGATATCTTATGCTAATTTCATGCATACTTTCAGCATACTTATTTTATTTACACTACCCTGGGAGTTTCAAACAAGAACTCTAAACTAAACTAATACCGCTAACAATGAAGCCACACAGAGAGAACCGCTGAGCGGGTCTAAATCAATCACCCCACACGTGCACCCCGGGGGAGACAACACACACATGGCCAACAGGAGAGGGGATACACCCACCGGCATCTAACAGGGAGTAAAAAAATACAATTACTAAGACGCCTTAAACCAAATCTTATTCAACTTAATACTCAAACTCAATATACAAAGCAATAATCGGAAATTAAATACCCCAATAAAGGAATACACCGAAGAAAAACTAATGGAAAAACTCCCAAATATTCTCATACAATTACCCTGAGCTCATAAATAAAACCAAAGATAGGCACAGTGATTTGTTAGATGGAACAATGGGACATATTTCAGAGTTCCTGCTGCTGTCTGTACAGCTGATGTTGTGCTTTGTTGTCCTCTCAGTCTACCAGGTGGAGGTGGATTCAGGGGTGGAGTCTGTCCTGCTGCCCTGCAAAACCATAGTTCACCTGCCTGAAGACGTCACAGTGGAGTGGAGGAACAGTAACAACAGGAAGGTCCACGTATATAAGAACGGCTCTGACCAGCCTGAAGAACAGGACAGTTTTTACAGAGACCGAACAGAGATGAAGAGAAACCTGCTGAGACCTGGAGACCTCAGTCTGACCCTGAAATACCCCACAGACAGAGACAGTAACACCTACACCTGCACCGTCTACAGCAGGGAGGGAGACATCCTGATGAAGAAACAAGTGGAGCTCAAGGTCAAAGGTCAGAGTTGGAAATACGGGTCAGAGGTCAGAGCTGTACATGCAGGTCAGAGGTCAGAGTGGTAGATACAGGTCAGAGGTTAAGCTGTAGATACAGGTCAGAGATCAGAGCTGTAGATACAGGTCAGAGGTCAGAGCTGTACATGCAGGTCAGAGGTCAGAGTGGTAGATACAGGTCAGAGGTCAGAGCTGTAGATACAGGTCAGAGGTCAGAGCTGTACATGCAGGTCAGAGGTCAGAGCGGTAGATACAGGTCAGAGGTCAGAGCTGTAGATACAGGTCAGAGGTTAAGCTGTAGATACAGGTCAGAGGTCAGAGCTGTAGATACAGGTCAGAGGTTATAGCTGTAGATACGGGTCAGAGGTCAGAGCTGTCGATACAGGTCAGAGGTCAGAGTGGTAGATACAGGTCAGAGGTTATAGCTGTAGATACGGGTCAGAGGTCAGAGCTGTCGATACAGGTCAGAGGTTAAGCTGTAGATACAGGTCAGAGGTCAGAGCTGTAGATACAGGTCAGAGGTTATAGCTGTAGATGCAGGTCAGAGGTCAGAGTGGTAGATACAGGTCAGAGGTCAGAGCTGTAGATACGGGTCAGAGGTTAAGCTGTAGATACAGGTCAGAGGTCAGAGCTGTAGATACAGGTCAGAGGTTAAGCTGTAGATACAGGTCAGAGGTCAGAGCTGTAGATACAGGTCAGAGGTTATAGCTGTAGATGCAGGTCAGAGGTCAGAGTGGTAGATACAGGTCAGAGGTCAGAGCTGTAGATACGGGTCAGAGGTCAGAGCTGTAGATACAGGTCAGAGGTCAGAGTGGTAGATACAGGTCAGAAGTCAGAGCTGTAGATACAGGTCAGAGGTCAGAGTGGTAGATACAGGTCAGAGGTCAGAGCTGTAGATACAGGTCAGAGGTTAAGCTGTAGATACAGGTCAGAGGTCAGAGCTGTAGATACAGGTCAGAGGTCAGAGCTGTAGATACAGGTCAGAGGTTATAGCTGTAGATACAGGTCAGAGGTTATAGCTGTAGATACAGGTCAGAGGTCAGAGCTGTAGATACAGGTCAGAGGTCAGAGCTGTACATGCAGGTCAGAGGTCAGAGCGGTAGATACAGGTCAGAGGTCAGAGCTGTAGATATAGGTCAGAGGTTAAGCTGTAGATACAGGTCAGAGGTTATAGCTGTAGATACGGGTCAGAGGTCAGAGCTGTAGATACAGGTCAGAGGTCAGAGCTGTAGATACAGGTCAGAGGTCAGAGCTGTAGATACAGGTCAGAGGTCAGAGCTGTACATGCAGGTCAGAGGTCAGAGTGGTAGATACAGGTCAGAGGTCAGAGCTGTAGATACAGGTCAGAGGTCAGAGCTGTACATGCAGGTCAGAGGTCAGAGCGGTAGATACAGGTCAGAGGTTATAGCTGTAGATACAGGTCAGAGGTCAGAGCTGTACATGCAGGTCAGAGGTCAGAGTGGTAGATACAGGTCAGAGGTCAGAGCTGTAGATACAGGTCAGAGGTTAAGCTGTAGATACAGGTCAGAGGTTATAGCTGTAGATACAGGTCAGAGGTCAGAGCTGTAGATACAGGTCAGAGGTCAGAGCTGTAGATACAGGTCAGAGGTCAGAGCTGTAGATACAGGTCAGAGGTTAAGCTGTAGATACAGGTCAGAGGTCAGAGCTGTAGATACAGGTCAGAGGTCAGAGCGGTAGATACAGGTCAGAGGTCAGAGCTGTAGATACAGGTCAGAGGTTAAGCTGTAGATACAGGTCAGAGGTCAGAGCTGTAGATACAGGTCAGAGGTTATAGCTGTAGATACGGGTCAGAGGTCAGAGCTGTCGATACAGGTCAGAGGTTAAGCTGTAGATACAGGTCAGAGGTCAGAGCTGTACATGCAGGTCAGAGGTCAGAGCTGTAGATACAGGTCAGAGGTCAGAGCTGTAGATACAGGTCAGAGGTTAAGCTGTAGATACAGGTCAGAGGTCAGAGCTGTAGATACAGGTCAGAGGTCAGAGCTGTAGATACAGGTCAGAGGTCAGAGCTGTACATGCAGGTCAGAGGTCAGAGTGGTAGATACAGGTCAGAGGTTAAGCTGTAGATACAGGTCAGAGGTCAGAGCTGTAGATACAGGTCAGAGGTTAAGCTGTAGATACAGGTCAGAGGTCAGAGCTGTAGATACAGGTCAGAGGTTATAGCTGTAGATACGGGTCAGAGGTCAGAGCTGTAGATACAGGTCAGAGGTCAGAGCTGTAGATACAGGTCAGAGGTCAGAGCTGTACATGCAGGTCAGAGGTCAGAGCTGTAGATACAGGTCAGAGGTCAGAGCTGTAGATACAGGTCAGAGGTTAAGCTGTAGATACAGGTCAGAGGTCAGAGCATTAGATACAGGTCAGAGGTTATAGCTGTAGATACAGGTCAGAGGTAAGAGCTGTAGATACAGGTCAGAGGTCAGAGCTGTACATGCAGGTCAGAGGTCAGAGCTGTCGATACAGGTCAGAGGTCAGAGTGGTAGATACAGGTCAGAAGTCAGAGCTGTAGATACAGGTCAGAGGTTATAGCTGTAGATACGGGTCAGAGGTCAGAGCTGTCGATACAGGTCAGAGGTTAAGCTGTAGATACAGGTCAGAGGTCAGAGCTGTAGATACAGGTCAGAGGTCAGAGCTGTAGATACAGGTCAGAGGTTATAGCTGTAGATGCAGGTCAGAGGTCAGAGTGGTAGATACAGGTCAGAGGTCAGAGCTGTAGATACGGGTCAGAGGTCAGAGCTGTAGATACAGGTCAGAGGTCAGAGCGGTAGATACAGGTCAGAGGTCAGAGCTGTAGATACAGGTCAGAGGTCAGAGCTGTAGATACAGGTCAGAAGTCAGAGCTGTAGATACAGGTCAGAGGTTATAGCTGTAGATACGGGTCAGAGGTCAGAGCTGTAGATACAGGTCAGAGGTTATAGCTGTAGATACAGGTCAGAGGTTATAGCTGTAGATACGGGTCAGAGGTCAGAGCTGTCGATACAGGTCAGAGGTTATAGCTGTAGATACGGGTCAGAGGTCAGAGTAGTAGATACGGGTCAGAGGTCAGAGTAGTAGATACAGGTCAGAGGTTATAGCTGTAGATACGGGTCAGAGGTCAGAGCTGTCGATACAGGTCAGAGGTTAAGCTGTAGATACAGGTCAGAGGTCAGAGCTGTAGATACAGGTCAGAGGTCAGAGCTGTAGATACAGGTCAGAGGTTATAGCTGTAGATACAGGTCAGAGGTCAGAGTGGTAGATACAGGTCAGAGGTCAGAGCTGTAGATACAGGTCAGAGGTTAAGCTGTAGATACAGGTCAGAGGTCAGAGCTGTCGATACAGGTCAGAGGTTATAGCTGTAGATACAGGTCAGAGGTCAGAGTGGTAGATACAGGTCAGAGGTCAGAGCTGTAGATACAGGTCAGAGGTTATAGCTGTAGATACGGGTCAGAGGTCAGAGCTGTCGATACAGGTCAGAGGTTAAGCTGTAGATACAGGTCAGAGGTCAGAGCTGTAGATACAGGTCAGAGGTCAGAGTAGTAGATACAGGTCAGAGGTCAGAGTGGTAGATACAGGTCAGAGGTCAGAGCTGTAGATACGGGTCAGAGGTCAGAGTAGTAGATACAGGTCAGAGGTCAGAGTGGTAGATACAGGTCAGAGGTTATAGCTGTAGATACGGGTCAGAGGTCAGAGTAGTAGATACAGGTCAGAGGTCAGAGCTGTAGATACAGGTCAGAGGTTAAGCTGTAGATACAGGTCAGAGGTCAGAGCTGTAGATACAGGTCAGAGGTTAAGCTGTAGATACAGGTCAGAGGTCAGAGCTGAATATACAGGTCAGAGGTTATAGCTGTAGATACAGGTCAGAGGTCAGAGCTGTAGATACGGGTCAGAGGTCAGAGTAGTAGATACAGGTCAGAGGTCAGAGTAGTAGATACAGGTCAGAGGTCAGAGTGGTAGATACAGGTCAGAGGTCAGAGCTGTAGATACGGGTCAGAGGTCAGAGTAGTAGATACAGGTCAGAGGTCAGAGTGGTAGATACAGGTCAGAGGTTATAGCTGTAGATACGGGTCAGAGGTCAGAGTAGTAGATACAGGTCAGAGGTCAGAGCTGTAGATACAGGTCAGAGGTCAGAGTGGTAGATACAGGTCAGAGGTCAGAGCTGTAGATACAGGTCAGAGGTTAAGCTGTAGATACAGGTCAGAGGTCAGAGCTGTAGATACAGGTCAGAGGTTATAGCTGTAGATACAGGTCAGAGGTCAGAGCTGTCGATACAGGTCAGAGGTTAAGCTGTAGATACAGGTCAGAGGTCAGAGTGGTAGATACAGGTCAGAGGTCAGAGCTGTAGATACAGGTCAGAGGTTAAGCTGTAGATACAGGTCAGAGGTCAGAGCTGTAGATACAGGTCAGAGGTTATAGCTGTAGATACGGGTCAGAGGTCAGAGCTGTAGATACAGGTCAGAGGTTAAGCTGTAGATACAGGTCAGAGGTCAGAGCTGTAGATACGGGTCAGAGGTCAGAGTAGTAGATACAGGTCAGAGGTCAGAGTGGTAGATACAGGTCAGAGGTCAGAGCTGTAGATACGGGTCAGAGGTCAGAGTAGTAGATACAGGTCAGAGGTCAGAGTGGTAGATACAGGTCAGAGGTTATAGCTGTAGATACAGGTCAGAGGTCAGAGCTGTCGATACAGGTCAGAGGTTAAGCTGTAGATACAGGTCAGAGGTCAGAGCTGTAGATACAGGTCAGAGGTCAGAGCTGTAGATACAGGTCAGAGGTCAGAGCTGTAGATACAGGTCAGAGGTTATAGCTGTAGATACAGGTCAGAGGTCAGAGCTGTCGATACAGGTCAGAGGTTAAGCTGTAGATACAGGTCAGAGGTCAGAGCTGTAGATACAGGTCAGAGGTTAAGCTGTAGATACAGGTCAGAGGTCAGAGCTGTAGATACAGGTCAGAGGTTAAGCTGTAGATACAGGTCAGAGGTTATAGCTGTAGATACAGGTCAGAGGTCAGAGCTGT